AAAAAACGAAACCGCTCCAAGAATTGATCACCTTGTTTCCGCTGGTCGTTTCTTGGGAGGCCTGCCTCTTTTACCAGTTGAAACCTTTTTCACTTCCGGGGCACTGAAACCAATGCGTGAAAATTATATAGGAGCCTTAACTGACTTTTTCACATCAAAAATGAATGGTGAAAGACAAAAAATACATATCAGGGACACATACACAGAGTTAATGAATCGATACACTGATTATATAACAACTAAACTAATAAATAAAAAATATATAAGAATCTAATCTAAAACTAAATATCTCATTGACGAGGCAGAAGCAAAGCGTTCATGATAAGCTAGTTTTCGGTTTCGGACGCCACACCGATATAGAGTACGAAAACATGCCTACAGAAACTTCTAAGTTTGTTACCCACTAAGTGGAAGAATTTTGGGAAACTCTAATAATATGGAATTATTCGAGTTGACGAACCATGGTTGAACATACTGCACACTAGCATCTACCGAGACATAAGCCGAGCATTTGCGTGATCGATACTCAAATCATAAGTCTATAGCATAATGATATGATCACGAGTACAGCGTGCATGAAAAACAAACTGAGTAATGAAAAGATGCCTTACGATTGTCAAGGCCTGCAGGAATGTTGGAAAATTTCTTGATTAAGTGATACTTATTATAAAAAAAGAGAGAATCGATCATTAGATAAGTAACTACACACCAAAGGTACTGAATATGAAATACTTAAAACTCAATAGACACTTGAGGCAATGTATGAACGATGGAAAGTCTGAACGCACCTTTCAGCATCAGCCGGTTTGGGTTTAGGAGGTCGTCCACGTTTCTTACCACTGTAAAAAGATGGAATCACTCATAAAATTTGCAAACAGACAAATATTGCGCGTGAAAACGGTGAGCGAGCAAGAGCAAATCGTGAGCGTACTTCCCATAAATGTAATGTAATGTTCCCGTGTTTCTGTGCTTACGAACCAAAGTTAAAGTGCTACTACTTCCAAGCGCCCTTAACAACACTACGACAGCGAAAACAGAACACTCCCATCACTGATTTGACAAAACACTTTAACGAATAGAATAGAAATGACTAATCATTTCTGATAATTTCTTGTGACGAACCTTCCAGTCGTAGAAGTTGGCTTGGTCTTCAATTTCTTCTGCTGTTTCTCATTGTCATCATCTTCGCCAGAATCCGAACCGCTGAACAGAAGATCTCTGAGTTTTTGAACATAGCACGAATGAAGATTACGCACTCAGAATACTCAGCATATGCCCACGTTGACGGTCTCCCACGCTTTTCAGATGATGGAGAGATGGGTGGACTTGTTGAATCACTGAACATTTCATATCCTATCAAAAATTAGGTATTCTTAAAAATGGGGCAACAACTGGGCAATTATTAGCGCTATCTTTCCAGACTGGTAACCTTTCCTCACCAACGTTTTCATAAATTCAGATGCGCAAGCAAATCTGTTTGAATTACCAACCTTGCAGCTTCTTTAGCTAGTTCGGCCAGCGATTTCCTACCGCGCTTTTTCGGTGCGACCTGTGTATCCGACGATCCATCTACGACTCTGAAATGAAATAAAAACAAATAATCATAGTAAATTAAAAAACGACAATTATTGATGTAGAAACGTTTTGAAGTAAATTTAAAAATCGTAACGTACGGGGCTGACTCTTCCGGCCGCTGGCTCGGTTTCGCCTTCGGAGGACGACCTCGCTTCCTTCCAGTAGATGCAGCAGCATCTTTAGCAGTCGCGCTAAATTAATAGGAAATCTTTTAAAAAATGTCAAAAAGTTAGTACCAGCACGGGAATCTTTCCCATAGTCTAGAGAAAGTAGTGCACTCAGCAGTTTAGTAATAGTGGATGGAAACATTCAGATTGTTCAGTTCAGATTTCGCACTACGCATTCAAAGTGTTTTCAAATCAATGTCATTTTCAGAGGGAAGGATTTTGTATTTAATCTCAAATCATTTTTATTCGGTGGGCTTAGCGGCGTGAGTGGGCGGCCTCTTATCTTCTGGTTGTTCTTTAACGCCCATTATGTTTGTCGTCTCATCCAGAAGAATTCCAGATGAATGAACACCGAAGTTGATGTTCTTCTTGCCGGCTGCATGCCGCAGGTCACAAATTTTCGAAACAGAAAATGACACAGTCAATCGTAGCGCACGGTCGTAAAGCTTATTGCCGATCAGATTACATCTGATATTGTCTCCTGGAATGATAATCGAGATCCCATTGGCCAAGTCTACTTGCACAGAGCACTGTCAACCCTTCCTGATATGAAAGGCAGTTGACGATGCAAATGGAGCTCACTGCATGAGCCACTGCGCAGATTGGATGATTCCCCGACGACAACTATGGGCATTCGGGCACCCCCAATGCCTTTAGTGTTTTGTGAGATTCCTAGGGCTATTACCAACAAAAAACAAATGATTTTGAGATCCATTCCATCAAATGATCTCTTACGCTTGACTCGCTCGAAATTGAACCATTACATGCTCACAACTTCGAAGAGGAGACCGGAGGGGTAAATAAGTAACAATATGGGTTAAGGGTCCTGTACAAATCGAAAATCACTACTATCACAAAAAAGTTCATATTGAAATAGACTGACAAGAGAATTTCCCGAAAAATCAAGAAAATATTGTGCATCTCCAACTACCTTTCAAATAGTGTATCTGGCAGTCAGTGTACTGGTAGACTTGGCATGACGTAATCTGATTAACATTCCAAGAAACGTCAAACCCCAGCCAATATGCCAAAGGCTTCAGGACCAGGCATGCATTACGAATGGATGACCGCGCCGTCTATCTTTGACGAAGAAGTAGAGACTAGACTTAAATACGACCATAGGTAGCAGTTGAGCATTCAGCACTACTAACACTGGGACGGTGATTCTTCAATCAATGCAGAATCCCTGCCAACGAGAGCGACATCGATGCAAGAAAAAGATCTGAAGCCTTGTACGTCCTGTGTAAAATTCAAAGCTGAACAACCAAAATGAGTGCATTTAGAGAATAGTTTCTGAATTCATTGAACCCTGTAGCTTCTGACATGATCGCTTACTATCACCAATTTCTTCTTAGTCCCTCACTGTTACTTAATTGGGTATAGACATTGAGACTGAGGGGATCTCGAGAGGTTGGCCCTCGGCCCCGATCTTTTTTCTTGCCTTTTTGGCTATTCTTTCATTTGGTCTAGTACGTCTAGATGTTTGTTTAAGAATGCTACACGAGAGGGGCGTCGAAGCGTAAGGTGTTTGAAGGTAATTCATTTTACGTCAATTTATTAAATCAGTAGGACACGTACGCACTATAATACGCACTACAACAATACAAAGCATCCACCCAACGCGCCCAGCTTTCAGGAAGGCCGGGTATGGAAACTACTACGCGATTACCGATACAATTAATGAAGGCAATGTATACACATCGACTTTCAATATACGACTTTGGCACCTTGCCGTGCGGGTTGCACGTGATTTTAACGGTAAACTTATGACCGGATGGCGATTGGATAATCAACTAATTGGTCAATCCAAGAAGTACTTACTTCAACTTGTTACATAATGACCTTTTTCTTTTGTTGACCAGATCTATCGATATAAAAAGATGACATACTTGAGTAAATTGCAATGAACTCACCCGGTTCCTGTGGAATCCGCTGCTGCGTTCTGTTCCGAGTCCATATTGCGACCCTGTAATGTTTGAAATCACTTACAGGTAATCAGCAGTGAAATGGATAGTCTTTGCGTGTGCTCCTTGCGAAAGCATGTTTTCACGAAGATGAATCATAAAGAATCGCAGAAGAATGAATGTCACTTGGCCAATGCCTTAGTGAAATAGCCTCAAAAGTACAAGGTGGCAGTAACCCTACCACGAGTAGAACTATCACAATGACAATCGGGTTCCTTTGTCGTAGAAAAGGAGGCTGAATAACGTCCTAAACAGCTAGGCCTTTTGAAAAGTTGGCAATCGCCTTTGATGGACCCCAATTTCGAGTAAAGGTGAGTGCGGTGGTCAGGTAAGAGACCCGACGAAAATCTTGACTACATTCAAGAAGCTCAACTTAATGTGATGATTTGCTCTTCCTACATACTATTGAATACACATCATATAAAACTTGTTGATTCAAAAAGCTTTCGTAAAATTTGCATAGTGTAAAGATAACGAAATTAATTCTTCTGATGCCATAAAACTATGCGGGTGAAAACAGCGCTAACGATAAGTACAACAGAAGAAGGGGTTCGATGAGGCAATATAAAGCTCAACCATTTCAGTTTTTGCCTTACCAATGCCATATGCGGAATAGAAAGTCTGATTCCTATTGACTAAGGTGAGTGATTAAAAAACAAAGAACTGGATTGGGGTGCCATCTAGTCTAAGGGCGGCAAAATTTCAATCCTAAAATGGAACTAAGCGTTGCTGCGGCTGCTCCCATAAATTACTACGTGCAGGTAGCAGTCAGAGAAGCATTGCCGCCACGCATAAAGTACGCGTGCGGTAATCAATAGCACGTCTGAGATGATGCATCATGTCAGCATTGCTTCTGGATCCTGTCTGCACCACTTCGCTTTTTCACAATCGATTGACTGCAAACAGTGATTGACCAGAAATTATCTGAATATTACCCACGACGTTATGCTGAAAGGGAACTGCGAGCTGAATCTCTGTTTGAACGCCAATTACAAACAACACTCGATAATAAACTAAGCAAACATTGCGATTGCGACAGCTGATAAGCGAAAAAGCGAAGCCAAATGGAAAGTATTTGAAAACGCTCAGGCCTAGTATTGCATTACATTTACTGCATTGATCATTACACGACGGCACACGGGCCACGGGAACGGCGCGTTTCCGATCGTGTTTTTTGCATATCGCAAACTATGAAAGCAACCTGCACTGCCACCTGCATTGACGCGCAGCTCACAAAACTCGTCTCATCCGTACAACAAAAACTGTCTGCTTCAAAATGTCAAGACTGCAGTCAAGGAAATGCTCAAAAACGCGTAAATAACTTAAAAGAACTACTTGAAATTCAAAGAACCAACTTCATCATGGGAACTACTTTACACCGGGAATCACATACAGCGAGATAGAAGCGTGTATGATACTACAATGGAACAGGTCTTCAGATCGTTTTACACTCATGCTTTAACTGGCAACGCGAATGGCAAATCTTAATCGCAAATCGATAACTCGAACAAGCATTAAAAGTTCGCAATTACGGCCACAGCGCATACGACGCGAATTTGCACAATCCCAATTAATTATTGCTAATTTTCATACTCGTTTTTCGAATTTGCACATAAGTTGTAGGGTTTACTTTTTACCCAAAGATCTGAATCCAAACGTACAGTCAGTAGAAGTTTTTTTCCTCGTCGAAATCTCATTTCGGTAGTGGTGGCGCCAGTTGTAAATGAGGCAAAATTCTGAAAAATCAGTTTAGGTTGTTTGGAGCGTATACTTTTTGAAGAACCATGCTAAAACTTGTAGCTAGATATATTTATATATAAAATGTTGTAAATTAACGTGTACCAGATCTTTTGGAAAAAAGAATTTACTAAATGGGAACGATGTCTGAGGTGGAGGACGGGAAATTCGACCAAACCGCTGATCAGCCAACCCGAGCTTAAATAGGGAATTGGCTGGAATACAAGTTTTAACAAATATCGACAAGTTTTTGTTGTTCAAACCATTAAACGACAAGTTCTTACAAGTTAGTTGTAAAGAGGTGGGACTTCTAATGTTAAGCCCGGACTGTGGAAGGGACAGTAATTTCATAGACTTCTCAGTTCTCATTGTGGGATGCCTGGCCCCGAAAACCTGGGTCTGGGGAACATATCGATCTTTTCACTGTTTGGGAACCCTTCTCATTTGAATGAATAAGCGATAAGACAGATCAATGCGATTGTACATTGTCTAAGAGTGATAAGAGAAATCAAAGTTCAACTGTTCAGACTGAACAGCTACGTCCCATTGCAAGAAAAATGCCATCAGATGATGATTTCTGTTCGCCAAAACCTCCTATACCGTTCCCGGCTGCTCCACGGTAAGGTTTATGTTTTAAAGTAATCCAAAAAGATATCGTAAAGCTTTAGTATTGCCGTTTTCTTCCAGAAGACCGGAGAAAAAAGGTGATGTTCAGTCGATCCCGATTGTCTCTGTGACGGGTTCATCACTATACTCGGAATTTTGTGCTGTGAAAAATGGTAAGCACTAGTTTAAAACGATCTTTTTCTAATCCAACCTATCTGAAGTAGTGATTTTTTTGATAAACAGTTCGTCAGGAGTTCAAAGGGACATTGTAGTTTCTACGAAATCGGAAAATGACCCACCCATCAGACAACCGATAATGAGCGCGGCTTAAATGCCGAACTTGTCGCACTATTTGCCACCCACTTATCTACTTGTAGGGTAGAATTCTATAGAATACTCGTTTCACGTTCGAATACTCAAATTTTCGTTTTAATACGTCTTCAGACACGACGTTCGGATCGGACACGAAACCAAACGATTGCTGTGCTGTTTGTTCGAAGAACCTCTCGCATCTAAATGATATTAGAAAGTTAGTGTTTTCGACAACTTTTGCTCCTTTTGGCGCCCTTGATTGGGACTTTTCCATGTCGTTCAAGTCGTTTAATTTGCTCTTTTGCTTTACTAGCTTTTCCCATATAGTCCAAAGGTGGGCTGGATAATAGCATGCCTATTCGGCTGGATCCGTCAATCTGTTCGTAACTTGCTCAAGCTGTGCCTTTCACGGTGATTTACCACACTGACGGTCGCATAACCATTCTCTTTCCTCTGACTTGTGGTTTTTGAAAACTTACTGCTATTGGTCCCATTGGGTAGGGGAAACCTATCCTATTCTTATCTGGTCTTGCTGAGGCTCGTCTTAAGAAGCTTCCTTCTCTTACCGTTTATTCACTGGCCAGTATTTCTTGACAGGGTCGCTCACGTGAATAAGTGTTTGGATGCGCAAGAATCATCGGTAAATCATGCTAAAGCCAAAGAAGTATGGAACAATACAATCGATTGTCCTTTGTGTGGAGAGCCGCAACCTCCCGGTCCCGTAAGTTTTTGACCTCTAATTTTCTCGTTTTCTATTCCTCATTCGAAGACGTTCTGGTGTTGGTAGGAATTATTACGCTCATAGATTTTTCACAACCTCTTTACTGATTTGAAGCATCGATCGGCGCACGCGAAGCGATGCGGAAAAACCTACAACATTGCACCGAAGGAGTTGCTCAGATTGATGGAAACGCAACGTCGTGTCTCTGATGTGAAGAAGCGCCATAGTATGATACACACCAAGTGAGTTTTTTAGTTATCGATTGCTGTCCAGAGAGATCTTTGAGGAAATTTTGCTTTGAAGAGCTCCTGTTCCTCAGAAGAAAGAGATCAAACCACCGAAACTAGAAGGCGCGCCGAATTCGTTACTCGATGAAAACATTCAACTGGCGAAAGCACTTTCGGCCAGCATGAACTCACAGCAATTCGACAACGTCCAGGACACTTCACCACAGGTCACGAGGTAAGTGATAGTAGTTGGTTTTGTAGTTGCAACAATACATGGGTAGAATGGCATCAGTGCAAATTGCGATCAGATCCAATATGGACCGCAACATCTGATTGCAGCGTAATGCTTTATACGCTTGCTACATAGCCATTGAAGATAGATTTTGCAAAGATTTTCAGAGGATATTGCAGGATAATTGACACCAACGACAAAAGGCGTAAGCGACCGCGATCGTATGCTGTTGTCGAGTTGGCGCCACGATCCTGTAGATGTGAGGTAAGGTTTCAGAGCTCGGTTGCATTTATCATGGAATCGTTCCCCTATCAGTGCTTGTCTTTGACTGTTGATTCTTTGGATGCTCTCCAATAATCTTTTTGGTAAGCGATGTAATTTGCTAAATTCGTTTGAACTAAAACATGGCCTCGAAATATGAGGCCATATAATGAATCAGAAATGATCAATTACTGAGAAATGGATATCCGATTATTTAAGGTAATACAAAAGGTTCAAAATCGATTTCTGGAGACGTTTCGTGTTCGCAAGACTAACGGAACAACTCTGCCTCAAAGTGAAATCTGCAAAAAACGAGCGACCCGAACCAGCATCTTCATGCAGAACCAGATACGTCTGCTGCAAAAGGTCAGGTGCTACTACAGTTTCAATTCCAGCTCTTTATGATATTCCAATTTATTTGTTTCTTGTTAGACATGAATCTACAATCTACAATTCGAGAAATATCTTTTTTTTATTAAAAGTCTGTCAAAATAGACAGCTCATTTCTAACTTATTCCGACATTCATTTGAAAAACTTTTGCTTCTGATGTCACCTACTTTGTAAGGTACACAGAGGGACAATTCGTTTTCTTTCTCTTCAATGAACTTTCATTTAGAGGTGATTTGAGCAGTATTCACCTCAACTCGGAAGGGTGCTATTACAGAAACAAATCACAAAATCCGTTGCAGGTGGAGCGTTTGGAACGGCTTTCGCAAGATTTAAATCGACTTGTTGGCCAAGGAGAAAAGTCGGACGTGCACATACGATGCTCCGATGGTAAAATATTTGCTCTCGCATCCTAACTCATGAATCCTATTCCTGAATTCCGAGCTCTCGCAGCTCCGTACCATCAACCACGAAGGGGGTCTTCTACCCATTATTCTGAAGGAAAGAACGAAAGTGTCTACTAATCATCTGCTAATACTGTTGTACTTCCCCTCTCCCTTCCCCACCTACTCAATTAGGAGCCGATTTACGGGCGGGCCAATGACTGTTCGGTATTAATTGTGCTTTCAGGGAATATTGATGCACATCAGTTGTTACTCAAATTACGGACTAGACTGCTGGATTCTTCCCCTTCTCAAAATGGTATCGTCAGTGCTGAACTTCGTGAAAGTCAAAAGGTAGGTCGGAGTCCCATTAACTTAAGTATTTGTATTTTCGAACTGTTGCCGTAGTTATATTTTTAGATCGTCATGATGTGGCTGAGATACGTGTACTCTGGTCGGGTGGAATGGAACGTTGAGGAAACAGAAAGCATTCTCAAATTGGCGGAACAATATGGACCAGGTATTAGTTACAAAATAAGTTGTGCATATCATTTTTCTATTACTCGCCACCTGGACTTATTTCCAGACGATTTGCCATCAGTGTGTATACGTATGCGTACTCCCCAAAAAGCAGAAGAACCGGTTGCTTCCCAGGGATCCGCTTCAGAATGCAGTCAAGATAGCAGTAGTGCGAAATTGGAAGCAGGGAGTGCTTCTAGTGTGATAGCTTCCACTGAGGTGATTGCATTTCGAGATACTCCAATTGATACTGTAAGCATACTAGACTTTTATTTTGGAAGTAGGTTGCTTATATGGGCAGGTGACAATTAAGATGAGCCCCTAGAAGGTAGGGACAGTGAATGTTACGAATATGTACCAACGTGTTCTCAACTTGGCTGTTCTAACCAGAACGGAACGAAATCAGTTGAAGTTCGCTCATAATGATGATGAAGGGATGGAGACTGATGCGTGCGAGCGAGAGGTCGACTTAAAAGGGG